CCCGGGAGGGCCGGCGGGAGCAGCTTGGCGTGGGCCCCCCGCACCCCCCCCAGCCGGCAAGTCTGGACTTGGCTCCGGGAGGGGCTGCGGACACGGAGGCAGGAGAAGGGGGTGCCCCACTCTCCTCCGTCCCTGCGCCCCCCCAAAAGCCCGGCCTGTCGGAGCACAGCGACTCCAGGCTGGGGAGAGGTTGCGACCCCCAGCCCAGCCCAGGACAAGACTCGCAGCTGGATTTCAAAGGCCTCAAACGTTCGCTCGCCGCCTTTGATCTCGACAGATGCTGTGCGGCAGCTCCCTCTGCAGGAGCTGGGGACGGCTGCACCTGCGGGCCGCGCGGGAGCCGGGACCGCTGCCCAGCACCAGCACCCTGGACCCCCCCCACCCTCGGGCACCTGACCTCAGACCCCCAGCCCCAGCCAGGGGAACCCTGGGGAAACCCACCCAGTGCTGGTCCTTCCTTTAGCTGTGAGCGTCTTCTCTTTCTGAACCAGACTAGCTTTGCTGACGGCTGGCCCCGCCACTCCCCTCCACATGCACACGTTCTCCCTCCGTGTCTCGCTTCTTCATCTGCGTTTCCGTCCAGCCGATTCCATCCCCTCCCCCTGAGGCAGAGCAGAGCAACGTGGCTCCATCTCCTCCTCCTCGCTGCAGCGGCCAGGCAGGGCCTCAACTCAAGGACATGGTGCCATCAAGCCTGGCCTGCGCCTGCCCCGACTAACCCCCTTGCACAGGTCCTGCAGCCGGGAAGTAGGAGGCAAAGCCAGCACAAGCTTGGGGAGTGGTCCCGGCAGTACTTTGGCCTCCTTACTCAAGGAGGGATGCCGGGGAAGAGGCCAACTGCTTGGCCCTGCTTGCTACCTGCCCTGGGCCCTGCCTGGGGGAGAAGCTATTGGGTGCAGCATTCATGCCTGGGATGGGGCAGGGAGGAAGGGAAGCATCAGACCCTCCTGCCGTAGATGCATTGACTCTTCTGCCAGGAAACGGGGGTTGTGACAACTGCCCCCAGCTGGGACCATCCCCAGAGCCCGCAGGACGCGTCAGCCTGGCTCAGCACTTCCATGCCCATGTCCTGCCTCTGGCCAAGGCCTGGACCTGCCCTACTTGAAGTTAAGTGAACCTAATAACAGGTTCGTTATTGCCACATTATAGCAGGGCCCAGAGGGCCCCATTGTACAAACACAATTACAGGGCAGTCCCTGCCCCATAGAGCTTCCTGCCGGATGAGACAGGACCATGAGCTGGGGAAGGAAGCACCTCCTTTTATAGACAGGGAGGTGAAGTGAAAGGACTTGCCCAAGGTCACACAATGAGGCTGTGGCAGAGCCAGGAAACAGCTGGAGATCTCCCAGCTCCCAAGCTGGTGCCCTAACGGCAAAGCCAAGGTTTCCTCACTTTAGGGGAAGGTGCACTGCAACCCTCACTCCCTGCTTGGGGGGAACAAACTACATTTGGGAGAGGATGGTGGAGGTCCAGAGACTGCTCAGCCAGCTATTGCATCTCCCCCGCCCCAGGCGATGCACCCCACTGCTCCTGACTTCATCCGCCCCCAGCCAGACCCCCCCTTGCCTGGTGGAGCTGCAAACTGAATTCTCAGATAAGATCTGTCTCCAAAAGCTGGCTCATGCCCAAAGGAGGCCAGAAGGAGCTGGTCGGGACTGGCATGCCACCTTCACGCCCGGGTCCCTCTCCCCCGTGCTCTTTGAGCAGCTGAAGGGGAGCTCCAGCCGGGTTCTCGCCAAGAGCCGTTCTCTGATGGCAATGAGACAGACGTGGCATGTGACCTCGGACAGATGCCAAAAACCCAACTGGAAGAGCAGCTGAAGTGCCAGCGCTGAGGACTCGGGGAGGGGCCGGCAGGCTCCCAGTCGGGCACTGTTCGGGGGAGCCACCCCAGCCCCAAACTGGTCACCACCACGGGGCTGTCTCCCACCGACACTCTGCACCACCCCATCACCACGGGGCAGCTGCCCCCAACCTCCTGCCACCTCGCATCATTGCATCGGCCTGCCCACGCCAGCCACTTGCCCTGTTCAAGGCTGCGCAGGGCACTAGAGCTACTCCTCGCACCACGGGACATGGTGGGCACTAACACGCCTTCCCAGCCTGTTCGTGCCCAGCAGAGCTGCCCAGAGCCCAGGCTCCAAGCCTCAGGCAAGGCTAAGAGGGGTCTTGCTGGGCAACGCATCACATATTTTTCCCCGAGGGTGCTACGGATCCGACATTATGGGGCCCTTTGCTAGCACACGTGGAAGCAACTCGTGTTCCTCTGCTGCAGGCCCAGAGCGCCCTTGAACGGGAGCTGTCGGAGCCAGCTGTGCTTTCACCCAGCGCCGACGGCCAGTTCAGAGCGGTGCCAGGCCGCTGTGCCCGGGCTCTGTTGGAAGGAGGCAGTCAGAGCCAGCTGCTCAAAGCCCACCTCCACGGTGCTGTTCCTCTTCAGGCTCGGGCCATTTGGGGTTCACAAAGCACTTCGTACACCCAAGTTGACAAAGCAGCCCCACACAAATGCAGATGCTGCATTACAGTCATGCCAGCCCGGCCCTGTCCTGCCACTCGCCTGCCCCGGGCCCCTTGAACATGCCCAAACGAGCAACACGGCCACACCAGACAACCTGGCCGCTGACTTCTTTGCAACAGGATCTCCATGCCCGTCTCCCTCACGCTTCCAAGCTGCCGTCCCTGGCAAGCCGGTCCCATATTGCAGAAGCCTCCTTGCCTTTCCATAAAGGCTTTCCCACCTCACCAGTTCCCTTCTGCCTGTTCCTACGGGCAGCCCGTATTCTCAGAGAATGGGACCCAGTAACCCAGTGCTGCTTGGACCGGCGAAGCCAGATGGGAAGGCCGGAAGAGAGGAACAGCATCTTATAAATCACTGCAAAAACCGTGCAGCCAGGCCCCCTCCCCTGCCCCAGAAATAACTCATCTGATCGGGTGACAGCAGACCCGTTCAAGCTGCGAATACCATTAACTGGGACGGAGGCAGCAAACCGCTCCACAAACCCGTCTTCGTCCCCAGACTTTATGGCAAAAATAAAATGACTCCTACCAGTGAGCCAGGTTTGCCCCGTGTCCCCCAGAGCTGTCCATCACTGCAGCAAGGCTGCGAGTGCCACCCCCACGGAGCCCCGGGTTGAAACCGGAGGGGGAAGTCGGCTTATGTTGCATGTCTGACTATGGGATCCCGGCAGGGGAAGAAGCCTTGGGGTGTGTGCCCACGTCTCTGGCTTGGACCCGATTCAGAGCCACCCAACACGCTGCCGAAGGGCATGAGGCGGGCAGCTGATGGACTCTCCGGCTCTGCTCCTGGAGGTGACTGGCGTCTCCAGGCTGCATTTAGAAATGCCTCCCAAACTCAGTATGCGGGCTATTGTTCTGGAAACTTTCCAGGAAGCATAGGGGAGGAAAAATCCCCCAAAGTTACTTATCGCACGTTCGAAGCCGCTCGCCCCACAGACACGGCGGCTCTGCGAGGCCGCGCTCAGCTGCCAAGCTGTGTCCCATCCAGTCCGCGCGGAGGGAGCCTCTGCCAAAACGTCCCTCCCCGCTCCTGCCTGGGGCAGTTACCCGAGTCTCTGCGCTGCGCTCTGCTCACTTCCTCCAGCTCTCAAGCACCGAGCCCATCTGGAACTGTTTAAACCCAAATATCGCCTCCCCCCCACCCCATTCCAGACCCAGATTCTTCCAAAGTTAAAACAAGCACAGAGTCAGGAGGGGGTGCCAGGCCTGGCTGACTCTCGCCTTCATTTCAGTTTAATTTCTGGGGAACTAGAATAAATCTGTCCCTGGCAATCGTTCAACCTCGGCACATTTTTCTCATTAATAAAAAAAAAGGAAAAAAAAAAAAGGAGAGCAGGCCTTAGGTTGCGAGCCATTGGTGTGTGCGTGCAGGACGGCCCCCTCCCTGCCATAATCCCCAAAGTGGGCTCTCGCTCATGCCTCAGCTCTTGCTGGGCAATTGCATGAATTAGTGAAGTGACAAGCGGGACAGACCGGAGAAGCGGGCAAGGCCTGGCCCCCCCACCCTTTATGCCACATGTGCCCGCGGCTCCCCCGAAGGGAACTTAAGCAAGGCCCCACCTTCCTCCCAGAGAAACCGGTGGGAGCAAATGCTGCAGCAGCTGCTGGCACCGCACGAGAGGGATGTCCTCGCCAGCAGGCTGCGGGGCGAGGTCCTGCACAGCCGCTGTTCCCGGCTCTGGGGCAGCGGGGAAGTGGCTTCCCTACTCCATCTGGGCGCAGGAAGAGCTGGCGGTGGGGAGGGAAGAGCCTCCTTTAAACCTTTGATTTCCATTCCTATGGAAGCAGCTCAGCAGGGCCCGATCCCGGCCCAATGCTTATTGCTTCCTGCATGAAGGGAAGTCCAGGGGCTGCTGGCACTGCTGCGGTAGGGGGTGGGAAACAGGTGTGCATCAGCTGCTTCGAGGACACAGAGCCCATATGCCCAAGAATATGCATGCAAACATCCCCGTTGACGGGCACGGGACAGCACATGGGGGGGCTGTCAAATTCCTGCCCTTCCCCGTTGCAGGCAGCCCCAGGGGACCAGCTCCACAAACCTGGCACAGTGCGGTGCCAGTGCCAACTGCCCTGGTGGCACTTGGCATTCATTTGAAAGCACCCCATAGCCAAACTGCTGCCCCCACACTATTGCCCCACCAGCCAGCCTCCCCTTCCCCTGGCTTGCTCCATCCTCTGCATTCAAGCAGTAGGACACCTGACCTTGAAAGCAAGCAGGGACAGGAGAGCTCAAGGGTGGGCTGAGCCACAAGATGAGTGGCTGCAGGTACAACTGTTCAGATGTGCTTTGCTTCCAACAGCCTCTTTGGAGGGAGAAGACAGAGCTTGGTGGGAACGTCCCATAGAAAGGGTAGTCCACGAGCCCCGGCTGCAGCGCCATACCAGCAGCGCAGCTGCCGAGAGCGGGCTATCTTCACGGTAGGGCTGAAGTTGCCACCTGTCCAGTTTTCACTCGGACAATCCAGGAATCTGGATCTTTGGCCAGAATTCAATGAGACTTGGACGCCCAATGTCCAGGAACCGGACCGGGAGGACAAGGTGGCAATTCTCGGGGCACAAATTCATAGGCTACAAGGAGTTTCCAAAAGAGAGCTGACCCAGGTCCCCCCTCCCCCTGTGGCCAGTAGCACACACACAATCTCGGGGCACAAATTCATAGGCTACAAGGAGTTTCCAAAAGAGAATCGACCCAGGTCCCACCTCCCCCCGTGGCCAGTAGCACACACACAAAGTCATGCTATTTCCAGATTGGTCCACGAACGGCTCCAGCAAAAGGGGGCCGAAACGTTAGGCAGTTTGGCTTGCTTACAAAATGGCTCCCGATTCCCATCACGGCGAAGCAGCCGCTGTCAGTCATGTTCCCGGCGGGCCGAGGAATGCCATCCGAGTTTGCTCGCGGCCAGGCTGAGCTTGCCTCCCCGCACACCTGGTCAGCGTGTGCAAATTTTGGGGGGACATTCCCGTCGGGCCGGGGCTGTCGTGATACTCCCGCCGAGCAACACGGGCGCGGAGCCCCCGACAAGCCAACGCTCTTCTTGCCTCCGGCCCCCACCAAAGGAGGTAGGAGGCAGGTCGCGACTGGAGCATGGGAGTCTGGGCTGTTTTCCACCCATTGCAACTCCCCAAAGACGTGGATCTCCCCAAAACGTGGCAGCCCCATGACCGGCCTCGGCTCAGGAAAGGGGAATCCTCCTCCCCGCAAAACAGCGGCTTCTCCAGGCCCAACCCGGGCGCGAGGGGCACCAGAGCCCTACAGCGCGCGGGCAGGAAAGAGGATGAATTCAAGGCTGAGAAGGGATTTTCTGTTCCATTGGCACTGGTTTTTCAGCAGCGGGCAGAGTGCGAGTCCTATAGCGTCTGCATGCACTGCACCCCTACCGCTCGGCCTCCCAGACACAGCCCACGGTGGAAGGGAATGGAGGGACGCCTTCTTCCCCGGCTAAGATCGCTGGTTGAAAACCAAGCTGAAGGGGAAACAAAGGGCAGGGGAGTCTCCCAAGAGCCCAGGTAAATGAGCCACCCAGAAGAGAGAGAGAGAGGAGAGACAACTCCTAAGACCGTGGCCATCTTGGAGACAACCAGGCGACTCCAATTTATGTCTGAACAGCAAACTCAGGCTCAGAGCTTTTGGGGGAAATCCCGA